ATCCAGGTTCCACTAGAACCAGAGTCCATCAGGACTAATAACGGTCTATGTCACTTGGGACACGTTGTGTTAAGGTTCTTGGTAATGTACTATGTTGTGGTCTTGTGACGAACCGGTGCGCTCTGTCAGTATCACAGTTTGTTATTCTTTACTCAACAACTATGATACTGGTTGGTAGTTGGAGGATTATGTGATAAAGGAGAGATGACAAGGACTTGGTGGTCCGGATGGCCTCCTTTGGCGTCCCCTAACATAGTTTTATATATTCGGTTGGTGGCAGAATGATATGGAGACCTGTTGTTAACTCGAACGCACCAGTTTATTGGGGCCTGCAGTATCTCTTGATGGTAGCGTATCTTATGGTTCGGAGGTGGACCGTTTAGGCTGGGTATTGTGGGACATTAGTGAAAAGGCGTTGCCTAAGGGAACAGTCCCTCGTATTGGTGACTTGGTGTCTACCACCACACTGGCTGGCAACGTCAACTCGAACCGTGTTGTTACCTTAGACCGGTTGTGTTTTCCAGAGTTCTACAAGTCCCGCTTCATTGATGTCGCTCATGCTCGCGTCTTTTCTGCGAGCAATTTCTATGACATGATCATTGGACGCGACATCCTCCTTGAGATGGGATTGAAGATTGATTTCAAGGGACACAAGATGACATGGGAAGAGGTCAGCATGACATGAGACCCTTTCCTACGTCTTCTATTGACAAGAAGACTCCTCCTGCTACTTCGATGTTCCTTGACCTCCTCGAAGCAGATCTCGAAGATGACGATACTCTGCCTACGGCAGCTTCTACCGATTGTTTTGAAGACGACTTGGATGACGATTTGGACGACATGCTCCCGAATCCGAAAAAGAGTCTTCATGTTTCGCAACTCGTGAAGAAGAAGAACGGGCAAGCAGACTTGGGTTACAAGAAACCAAGAACATCCTCGAATTAAGTATGAAGGGGCCGATATTACCGCGTGGTTCGGTCTGTACTCATCTCTCTCAAGAACAACAGAATGACCTTCGTGGTGTCCTTGAGAAATATGATACCTTGTTCAGTCCTGAACTTGGCAAATACACTGGCGGACAGATTAGTTTGGAGATTGATCCTACAGTTCCGGCTCATCGAAGCCGACACTACACTGTTCCTCATCACCAACAACTATCTTCAAGAAAGAATTGGATCGGTTGGTTTCCCTTGGCGTTCTTGAAGAAGGCAGTCGTTCCGAGTGGATTGCTGGACTTTCATCATTCCGAAGAAGGACGGTAGAGTCAGGTGGATCTCTGATTTCCGTGGTCTCAACAAGGCAATCAAACGCAAGGTTTACCCAATTCCTCGCATTGCGGATATCTTAGCTCGACGCAAGAACTATGCTTTCCTTACCAAATTGGATATCTCGATGCAAGTATTACACTTTGAACTGACGATTTCAGTTCCGAATTGTGTACCATTGCTACCCCGTTTGGATTGTACAAGTACAGACGACTACCTATGGGCGTTTCTCAATCTCCGGATATTGCTGAAGAAATCATGGAAAAGTTACTCTAAAGCTCTTGACGACATCGAAGTTTAATCGATGACATTGGGATCTTCAGCTCCGATTGGCGTTCTCATCTGACAAGCTCGATCAAGTCCTCAAGATTCTACAAGAAGCGGCTTCACAATCAATCCGTTGAAGTGTGAATGGGCCGTGCAAGAAACCGATTTCTGGGACATTGGTTGACTCCTGTCGGGGTTAAGCCTATGACGAAGAAAGTGCGCGCAATCCTGGACATGAAGGCTCCTACGGATATCAAACAACTGCGTTCGTTTCTTGGTTTGGTAACCTATTACCGTGATATGTGGCCTCGTCGTTCTCACACCTTGGCACCTTTGACAAAGCTGATTGGTACCAAGAAATTTGAGTGGACCGACGAACAAGAAAAAGCGTTCAAAGCCATGAAAGCTGTGGCGGCAGCAGACACTCTGCTGGCATATCCGGATCACAACGTTCCTTTCGAGATCGATACGACGCTAGTGATTACCAGCTCGGTGGAGCTATCAAAACAAAATAGACGGATTGTGGCTTACTAATCCCGCAAACTCAACTCCCCCAAAGAACTATACTACAATTGAAAAGGAATTGCTCTCCATTGTTAAATCTTCAAAGAGTTTCGTCTATGTTACTGGAGCTCGTATCAATGTGTTTACTGATCATAAGAACCTTACTCACAACTTTCCGCTTTCCAAACTCAGCGTGTTATGCGATGGAGATTGCTATTGGAAGAGTTTGGACCCAACTTCCATTACAAGCCGGGCCCCCAAACGTCCTTGGCTGACGCCCTCAGCCGGGTGCCCACTTCTCGCGAGATCGTGACACTGCCGATTCCGATCCCCTCTCTACATCTGCTGACTGTATTCCATTGTGGAGAGAATCAGAGGTTGGCTGAATGTTTGATGCATCATCCAGGCGATGGTATGGAAGAATCTTTCTTGGAGCATCCTACATTCGACGGCGAAGGAAGGAATCCTTTCAATTTCTCGGTTCTGCCGAGTACCAAGCGAACAGTGAGTTTTGCAACAGACCGTGGTTGACAACCCGGAACGGTTTTTAAAAAGATGTTTGGAAACAGTGAGCGTGATATGCTTTCGTCAGAATGACGAGGACAAGATTGTCCTACAAAAGAGTTGCTTCCCAAGTTGGTCAGCTTCTATCACAAATCCATGGCACATGTCGAAGGCATGGATCGTTTAGAACAAACGATCAAGACACACTTCTACCACGAGGTATTCGCGACGAAGTCCGAAAACAAATTGAGCAGTGGAAGCATGTGCAAAGAACAAGCGAGCACGACGTGCTTATGGAGAATCTGCTCCACGTATGCTACGGCGATGCCCTGGCAAGAATCCATTGTGACACAATCGGTCCGTGGACGATTGAGTTACGACAACGGACATTGACTTTCAATGCAATGACTATGGTGGATCCTTGCACAAACTTGTTAGAGATTGTGCCTATCATGCGACGAACGTCGGAAGAAGGTGCTCGAGTGGTTGAAGATACATGGTTTGCTCGGTATCCCCGACCAAAGAAAGTGGTTACGGACAATGGTCCTGAGTTCAAACTGGAGTCATTGAGATGGTGTAAAAAGAATGTGCTGTGCATCGCTACTCGACCCCTCGTAATCCACAAGGTAACTCGATGATTAACGAACTCATCAGGCAATTGGCAAGTATTGCGTACTATTGTGGTTTCGCGCGATCCCAAGAGTGTTGTGATGGGATCAAGGTTATTTCCGAAACCTTGCGACAGCGATGCATGCTCATCGTTGTTCCGTGCAGAGTACGAACGCGTATTCACTCCTGGTGCTCTTGCCTTCAAACGAGATATTTTTCTTGACATTCCTATTTATGCAGACATCTTGGCCGTGCAACGACACCGTAATCCTTGGTTGACAAACGTTTGTTACGGGCCAATGCTAAACGCATTTCCTATGACTACGCAGTCGAGACCTGGTCTACAAGCGTGCGTATCTCGGTCTCAGTGATAAGTTGAAGCCTACGGCTTCTGGTCCCTATCGTGTTTCCCGCGTTCATACCAACGGCAATGTGACGATTCAACTCAGTGCTCATCAGTTTGAGCGCCTGAACATTCGGCGCGTGTTTCCAAAGCATCCAGTACCTCCGGTTGCCACCGGTCCGGGTTATTGAGGTTCCCCTGATTCATTTTCTAAATGTTACTGATGCTCGGCGCCTATTGTTGCCTCACAGTGGAGGAGAGTGACATACGCACGTCTATGACGTGGCGCTTTAACGCTAGTTTTAAGTCTAATCTCACAATATTCCGATCGTAGTTCAATGCTGGTGCTGGTGCTGGTGCTGGTGCTGCTGGTGGTGCTGCTGCTGATGATACAGCTACTAGCTAGCTATCAATGACTGAGTTACAAGTAGGTTTTATCTACTACAGAGTAATCATTTAAAATTGTACTAACACCAAATTAATTGTATTGCTCTGGTAGAGCTTAATTCAAAGAAGCAATACCATCTTGTTTGAGTCACTTGGATCATCATCTTGTTTGACTGACTTGGACGAATCTCACAGAGCTCGGCTGTTGGAAAAGAGGTGGGGGGAGGCAGGTGCCGCTGTAGTGATTCAAGTGCTGCAAAAGCTTGAAAACTAAGTGTAACTCATTGTAAACAGTGTTGCCGTTGCTCTGTTGTCTCTGTAGAGTTGTTTACAATACAAAGCTAGTTGAAATGACGACCACGTTAGTCGTCTTCCAATGTTCTACGCCAGTAGTTACATCAGTTGCACGCCAGTTACGTCAGTTACCCTACGCTAGTTACGCTAGTTACATCAGTTACTCTAGTTACGCTAGTTGAAGTGCCCCTAATTTTGGTGCAGTGCGGTGCGAGGACGGTGCAGGAGAACTGCACCGGCACCAAATTATGGCACCAAATTCAACTGACCCTTGTTGTTGTTGTGTGGCTGATTCTGGTAAGCTGGTAACTGGATACCGACGCATTGAAAGAGTGTGGTAATGTAATTGGGGAGTGGAATAAATTGACCAGAATATGAAAAAACACAAAAACAAATGCTACGCGGCAATGCTCCATACTCTTGGGCTCTGCCGCGTAACATTTGTTTGGTGATTTCATCACTTTCCTGTGGCGAACAAGCACTCCCCAAGTGAGTGATAGGGTGTTTGAGCGATTTTCAATTTCGAAACATGCATCATTTTCATTCGTGTATACCCATTCTTTCAGTCATGCCCTCTAAGTCATTCAGTCATTTCGTTAAATATTTCCATTAAGCTCCCCAAAACGTTCACTTGTGGGTATATGGACCGCGTTTGGTGTTAATGCTCTACTTTCAAATGGCAACTATAGGTTTAACACTCATCTCAAACAGATAACAAAAAGAAATAATGGCTACATCAACTTTGAAATTCTCATTACCCATACCTTTCAATGAGTCGGTAGTCATTCAATCGCAGTCACAGGTCATTTTCGTATTTCCAGGGTTTTACGGTTTCTCACCATGGCAGGCTCGCGTTCTTGAAACATCACCCTCACATTTTCACTCGCAACCCTCATTTTCTCCTCCAACGGCTCGATCACCTTCAACCGGGAACTTGCTTTACATTGTCCTGGGCTCTTGAACAATGAATCGAATCAGCATTTGGCTTCCGTACGGTACGTCATTCCCGACTTGCAGCGATCGAGGGTGAGTTTCGTTTTCGTTTGTTGTTGTCATGCAGAGTTCTTGCTTCTTGCTTTTTGTTCCCCGCCAACGAAGTCTTCTAACCGCTTGCGCTCGTTGTCTCTCTTTTCTAGCTGCAGACAAGTTCGGTCAAGTTGTGCTCTCTGTAAATGAATTGGATCGCAATACGCTTTGCGGGACCGTGGAAAAAGTATCCGATGTTGACGAAGAGACAAGTTTTAACTACACGATCGGTCAGGTTCGCCTAATGAAGGATTTCTTCAATGTGGGCCAATTCCAACCCAACGCCAACGGCAGCCAAGCGCCCACCGCAGAGACCAATGAAGAACAGCAGGCCCGTGCTGATTCCAACAACAAGGCCGAAATTTGAAAGGGGGTCCTGGTGTCCTTTCAGAGTATGAAGGAGAAGGGGGGATCGATGAGAGATTTCCCCCGCTGCGTGACGTTGAAAAACTTATTCCCCGGGCCGGCGGTTGTTCGTTCGAACGCCCAACCCCAAGATGGAACGGGAACTGTCTCGGATCTATCAGATTCACCCACACGTCGACGACAATTTCGCGATGGGAAAAACTTTACCCAGCCGGCGTACGACAACTGAAGAAAGGATCACACGCGATGCTCGATTTCTCGCTGCACCACGACGAAGGACTCTACCAAGACGAAGGACTCTATCTAAACGAACTAGCCCGGTACAGCACAAGCTTGCAACCATAATTCTCTAAGAGGACAAGAAGATCGCTCCACTACAACACCATAATACTGCATCTAGCTTCGTCTCGTTCCATCGTACTCGTTGAAATGGACGTCGAATAGCGATGACTCGAGATCCATGCACAATACGAGTAGTTTTCGCATGCAACGTCGGCCTAAGGTGCCAATTCGGGTTTTGGGATATTAGTAGAATCGCAACAACGAAGGGACAAAACGAGCACGGGACAATGGGAGCGCCTAGAGCGAGCCGAATCGCGATAATAGAGCTCTCACATTTTGCCTGGTCGTTCCTCAGGATAGACCAAACCGGTCTTATTGGGTCTGTACAGTACGGAATCTTTGGGCTCTTGTTCTTCTCCAATATCACCATAGCCACCAACCGAACAGTACCAGCACACCACAGGGCGACCATGAATGGATTTGGCACATTGGATGGTAGCGCCACCAAGGCAGTGGCTCCTTTCCTTGCTGGTTGCATTTTTGCCTTTTCAGTCGCCAGTTTCATTCCACCTGTGGTTGGGGCTGTGCCGCCCTTTGCAGTGTTTGGGGCCTTTGGGCTGGTCTTGATAGCTTACAGCATTCTACTCTTGCTAGCTACTAGCTAGCTAGTAGTACTGCTAGTACCGGTATCGGCACTGGTACCGTACTGGTGTTCCTGTAGTGCACCCTGCATGGCTGCATGGAGCAGTGAGGTCGACAAGAGCGTCTGATACATGTACTCTTTCGAACTCTTACAGTAGTCTACATGTACTAGTACTTTGGAGACTCTCAAGCTCTCAAGCACACGTATCACAGCCGGCACCAGAAATGGTGGGAGCTAGCAGCTGTGGGAGCACCGTTCCTCATGGCACCGGTACCGGGACCGTAAAAGTATGGTACCGAAGTTAGTTGATGAAAAGATTTATGGGAGGGACAGATCGATATCCAGCGGTACCGCTATTAATACTGGTACGACTGTACCAGTACGGGACGGTGCCATCCCAACAACTTGGAAACATACATGCATGGAAATCAAGAGTGAATCAGAGTTAGGGTCCAGGCTGAAAATCAGAACTAATATGAAAGCTCTAACCCTCTCTATGCAGGCTAAGCGCTTCTGCCGTCATTTGTAGGACGCACAGAAGACCACACAAAGGACAGATCAAGGGTTGAAGCTGGAATTAGGAAATTGACTAGTGTATGTATTTCAGTATCAATCGTGGCAAACGTATGCAGAATCACTAACATGTTCATATGTTTTCTACTTAACAATGAAAGAAACCGTCTTTCTTTTTTTTTCGCAAGATTGTTTAGTATGATTTGTGATAGTTCTAATCGGCCATTGGGTGGGGGAACATGAATTCTGCAAGAAGATGGGATTTAAAGCATACTTTGCTGTACTCTTGATCTCCTTCGGCGAGTTTCGTAATGGTTCCTCTTTTAATTCCCTACCGGTATAAATGACCTTTGGTCCCAACTACTCTGGAGTATTCAGTGGGCCAAAGGCCACGAAACAGCGAAACAGCGGTACGGCTTACCAGTATAAGTATGCATAACTATGCATACACTTTGATTTTTGACACGAACGCGTGCCCGTCTTCTCTGGTAAGATTGCTGCGTGAGATATTCCGTAAGCTTGTTGGATTGCGAGAGTCTCGACAGGCTAGCTAGTAGGCTAGGATCCAGCCTGTCAACACTGGGTCACAATTTTAAGAGACGTCTTCCGCAAACATTGGAAATAGATAGGAACGCTAGAAATGATACTATAGCCACTTGACGGCTTGTCACTCAAAAGCAACAGCTTCCGAAATGGCGGTGATCGAATCCTTTGAGATCTTGCGATTTCCAATGTGGACGATACACGGTACAGTGTGAGTGCGTGGCCCCAGCAAGTGCTGCAGTACCGCCACCATATGCGTTAAAGCCCTGGCTACTGAGCCAATGAATTAAACGGTGTTGCTTCTGGCACCTTTGGACTTGAGACAGAAGAATTAAGAGTGCTCTCCCTGGAGGACCAGGTCGAGCAATGATAGAACACGTGGCCCTACCGTCCCTATGTATCTGCCTACGAGACCGTAGGTATCCAGTATATGTAGTCTATTATAAGTAGGTCCAGGCACAACAGCACAATCGCAGTACCGAGATACACACTGCATAACAACGGGATACAGATGAGATTTGCGCTTCTCTATCAGATTTCAGCAACTTCTTCACTCTTCGCTGCAAGCATTAGCTACTCGTGAGGGTCTGGAGATGCGCGTCAGATTCCTATTCATTACAGTCTGAGTTCACAGAGCTGCGTAAGAGGCTCGATTCGATTCAACACCAATCCCTCTATCTTGCCAAACTTGCCAAAAGGAGAAGTATAGGTCAACTTGCCTCACCAAAATGAACCCAAGCTCCAACACTATTGAATAGCAGCAAAAGGCACCGTCAATACCGCTACCACTACAATAGATTGAACTTGCTACCTACTACCTACTACTGCGTTGTTGGGTAGCATCCCTTGTTCCCACCACCATTATCCTTGAGTTAGACCAACGATTGTCAAGATAACGAACGCATCAGCAGCAACAAAAGCAAGATGTACTACCTGTACAAGAAGAAACCCGGCGATGACCGCAGCGATAGCCTGTCGACCAACGCGGCTCCAGTGACTCTGCAGTCCAACTCGAACCTGGGAGGCCATTATCCCTCTTCCAGGAGTCGCAACAGCAACCACCCCCACCAGCGACCACATCCCATCGCCGAAGAAGGGAATAGCTCTGGTAGCTTTGACGTCCCGGAAGGTCCCTTGGATTCCTCGGCTCAGCAACCCTTCAGCGGTCGAAGGCGTCGACCGGGAGCCGAAGTGGAAGATTCCGAGAGCAAACAGAAAGATGAACAGATCGTCAGGCGGATGCTGAGACGAAGAGGTCTCGAGGAACACGACTTTGCAGCAGAAGTCATGCAACCGAGAAGACCCTCTAGAATCAGTTGTCAAAGGTGTCAGCATGACATTGCCTACAATCATCATCGAATTAGCTGCAGCAGTGACCAAGATAAGCACGTGTTCTGCAGATCATGTGTGGTACTCTACGTAGACGCTTGGGTCAAAGGGGAAGCAGAGTATGAGCTTCGACATGGAGGTCGCCATCAGTACGCTTTACCCTGTATGTCACCTGCTTGTCAAGTGGGATGTCTTTCGGAGGCTGCCATGCAACCCATGTTGACCCATCCCATCTTTACCAGTTGTCGTCAGAAACTCGTCAGAGCCAGGGCAGAACGCTCACAGAGAGGAGGATCCGCTCAACCGAGAAGGATCCAAACCGATATGGAGCAGGATGGACAACCCTCATCGCAGAGACAGCCACACCAGCAGCAGTTGTATTCTGGCCTATCCCAACAACCCATTCACGGGGAGGCCCCCGCAGCAGATGACGACTTTCCTACCCAACGGTTGCTACGGAGACAGCCACCGGATTATGCGCAGTACCAAATGCAGTATCAGCAACAGCAGACACGTGCCGCTCCTCCACCACAACCCTCGCAAAAGCAGTTGCAGGAACAGGAGGACTTGCGTCAGAAGGAGGAAATCAAACGACAACAGCAACGTATGCTTCATGCCATGTACCACCAACAAGGATCGTCGGCGTCACAAGCAGGTTCAGCCGCGCCCTTGCCTCCCACCATCCTAAGGCGGACATCCACGTCCAGTACCGCCACATCCAGGAGGACGGGGACGGGACAAGGTGAGGTTCTCACTAAAGTCGACCGATCAAATCGCTCTACCGACGACGACTCGTCTGGGTCGTCGGCGTCATCATTGACCACAAGGTTCCCCACTTCTGTTACATCGGAAGCTCGAGAAACTGAGAAGGAAGAAAGCCAACGACGGCATCAGCGTCGTCAACTGGCACAGCATCCTCCAACAACAAGAACAGCAAATGCAGCAGCGCGACCAAAGCCTGCAAATTTTAATACCGCTCTGACTACCTGTATGTGCTGTTACGAAGAGTTCTCCCCCAAGGTTAGCCCTGTCATTCGCTGTGATCCTCGTCGACCCAACGAGGCGTCGCACCACTTTTGTGGAAAGTGTGTTCGAATGTACGTGGAAGAGTGGATCTTTGGGGCCGCCACTTACACGCCGCGCCCGGGACGACCCGATGAACAAGGTCAGACAGACCTGATCTTGCCCTGCTTGCACGGCGACTGTAACGAAGGCGGCTTTCGAGACGATCAAGTGTCCCAGTCACTCACCTCAAGGTCCATGGAACAATATCTTTCCAAGATTACGCCCATGAGAATTCAAAAGCAAGACGACGAAGAACGGCTCATGGAAATGGCCATTCGGTTGTCGTTGGAACAAGACGCTATTCAGAGGCGTGTCTCGCAGCTGCATCAAGAACAGAGGAGTGTCACGAAGGAACAAGGACATAACATGAACGTACTGATGGCGCCAGCACCAACACCGACGAGAGGGAGAATCAACCCACCTTCTATGCTGAACATCCCTCAGACGACCCTGTCGAACACTTCGTCTCTGACGTCGTTCAACACGGCGTTCCCTCAGAGTTCGAGGTCTCTCCCTGACTTGCCAAGAGGAACAATGAACATGAGCAAGTTGACAGGCAAGGGCGATGTTGGCAGATTGGTAGTACCTGCAGCCAAGAAGCCTTCAGCGGCTGTGAACGATCATGAATCAATTATTGAACAGAGCGTTCATTCTGTGGAAGAAGCCATGACTCAAGCCAAGGTTCGCACTTGCCCCAACTGCAACACCAAGTTCTTGAAGGACGAAGACTTTTGTAACAAGCTCAAGTGCCCATCCTGCAAGACCGCCATCTGCTACATCTGTCGTCAGGTAATCCCCACCCAGGGCTACGAGCACTTTTGTATTCACAAGCAAGGGGGATGCGCGGCTTGCCTGGGTATGCACTGTCCGTTGTGGACGCAAGTAGACGATGACAATCGTCGGGATATGGCTGAGATGAGAACAAGAGGGTTGGATGAAGCCAATCGTATATGGGAGGAGTCTCTGCTATCAGAATACAGCAAAGGGACAGAGATTCGAGTGGACGTAGACCAACTGCTGCAGCAACCGCAAATCCAAACAATCGATAGGTTGAACTGCACCATAAACATAGATATTGTTCTACTACCATTCACAGGATGAAGTTGTTTTTATCAAATGCAGCAAAAAGTGAGAGTGATATTATGATTTTTGTTGGGGGTACTGGTAGGTAGATGCAGGCACAAGATGTGAAATCAAGAAGCGTTCGCTTCTGGGGCTGCAACCTTAGGCTGCGCTAGCTACGCTGTAGAATCCCATATTACAAAGCAGATTTAAGGATCCTACTTCCATGTATCAGAACGCTTCTTGACCTGCAACCTCAGGCCGTGCTAGAATCACGAAATCACAAAAAGCTGACTTGAGATCACACTTCCATGTACCAACTGCTATCTGAGAAGATGGTCGTGTCATCAGGTTCCAGCAGCAGAGTGACAGTCTGTTTCCACATCGACGGTAGTTTGTACGGCGGAGGAACGCATCCCGTGTTCTGGATTCTCACTCGGCTTCCCACCGATGCTGGTCATACGGCGTGCGTCAACCAATCCAATGGCACGATGATGCAGGCATTGCTGTACTTCGTGTCGCTAAAGTCATGGGTGCCTTCCAATGCGCCATTCAGGTCGTTGCATACACGTAGTACCAATCATGCCCCCATAGTCTCTTTCTTCTTCGATTCAGAC